CAGGGGAGTAGACAGGTTAACGACAGGAACCAGGATAGTAGGAGGATCAGGATGGACAGGTGAATAGACAAATGAACCAGGAGGACTGGCGAACGAAAAAGAAATCCACAGCACAGGAACCGTCAGCGTGGAAAGCAAATAGCGTATCGCTGACCTCATGAAAAAAAACAAACACAGAAATCCACAGCACAGGAACTGTCAGCGCGGAAATCAAAATGATGTATCACACAGACCATCAATACAGGTATTTAGGTGTGTTCTGTTAATGCTCCAGGGACGACAGAGCGTCTGCCAGAGGTTTAAATAAGGAAGGACACTAGTCACAGTAATCTGCCACAGCTGTGCGTGACTACCCACGAGTCACTAATTGCAGGATGCGACGCAGCTGAGGTGCAGATCTTGCAATAAGAGCGAGCAGGAGAGAGAAAAGGCAAAAGAGAGGCAGGTCACGCCGAGCGTACCTGACAATAACCACAACCAAAGGAACACTGGGTCTCGTGTTGCGCTGTTTTCAATATTATAGTGAACATATAATTACCGTTACTTTATACCTCATCACAGTTACAAAAATCTCAAAGCTCTAAACTTGCAATGGATCTTTCTCCCTTTAGTGCATGATGTCACATCTTTCTGTTCCACCAGGTTCTGTTACTGCCTTTCAAAAAAAGGTCATATTTTTAAACTTTCTAAGATTCTAAGAATCTATACTATGTAAAAGTATACACAGCATTCAGTTCTCTCTGTCCTGCTGTTATTACAGACGTGCCTGAGCTAATCATGGTCCCTTGACTCACACATGAACTCTCTCTTTAGTCAGTGATATTTACCTCAGACAGGATGAGGGCTTATATAATTTGGTGTTTATTAAATATCTCTGTAAAGTAAAAATATTAAATAAGCAATATTTAATAGGAAAAAGCTACCATCCTTATCTAATCATATGAAGTGTGCCACGATCTGTTCAGAGGCTGAAGGTTTAATTATTAGCATTGGTACAAATGTCAGTGGTATTTTCAATTATGTTTTCTTACTTCTGAAACTGAACCCTGAACTGTTGGTTTCGTTTCAGCTCTGTTTTGGAGAAAAAAATATATATCAGATCTAGTTTTTCTTTGACTAATATTCTTACGGTCATACAAAATGTGACTCCAAAGTCTAGACATTTTATATTTTGAATGGCAAGGCCATTTGGCCTTCAATTTTACACAACTGCAGAAGGCACAAAGGCCATTTGCCTGGACACTAAGGCCCATAGACAAGTGGCATGTATATGAATGCCAAATGCATACTGTGTGAAAAGTAAAGTCACAAACCAGGGTTTGGTATTCACAACATACATTTTAAATTAAAGTGCAGATGCCTGTAGAACTGTTTGATGAATACACACTCTCTCTGAGCTAAAGCGATAAATATAGTAAGCATAAGGCAACATCAAAAATGTTGATGTTAGCATGCAGTGTTGAAGAATGAATAGCATTAAATTGTACAACATAGTATGCCAACTTACATGCCCATGTGAACAGCTTCAATAAGTTCATTGTTCTAATTAATATATTTATAAGCACACATCATGAGTGATCATTTAGAGACTGCTCCTCAGATCTGATGGACATGAGAAGATCTGACAGAGTTATGAGCTCCATCGCTGTCACATCTTATGAAGGCACACCGGCCACCAGGGCCGTCTACCCCTGACAATTATACAGGGCTTCATAGCCAAATGCAAGGGCAGGGAACAACAAACTGCACTATTCATTCAAATTTTGTATTGTATTTCCTAATCTACATAGTTCATTGGATGACATGAAAACAAACACACAAAAGGAAATTTTAATTTCAAAATTTGTGACTTCCTGTGAATATTACATTCAAAATTGAGCATCAACCTGTTTACAAGGTTCAGATCCTGACCAAATGTGAGTCCTGCTATGTCATGATGATGACTGACAGCAACACTGAAGGAATGGGTAGAGGGGTTACCAAAATCATCACATCTGATTCAGAATCAGAATCAGCTTTATTGTGTCTTGGATGAAACCAATGACCATTGTATCATCTGCAAACTTGATCTAATCTCTTCTGATCTTATTTAATACTTCATGAACGTGCATATAAATTATGATGAATATTTAATCAGTATCAAATGCTAACATTGACAGTGGAATGGAGCCAGCACCAACATCCACAAACACTTCAGCAGCACTTGCATCCACTGCCAGCTAGAAACACTGTTGGGCTGAAATATAAACAGACACATACACACGACATTGAGCGTGACTCACACACAGTCCTAGCAGACGCAGCCACATCCATGGGCAGACTCACAGACAGCAGACAGTGTGTGTGGTGATGCAACATTGAGGAAGCAGATCTACACGTGGTTCCCAGCGGCGTCTGTGTTAGCGCTCACTCGCCGAGGACAGGATGAAAGATAGAAGCACTCCTAAAGTCACACGACAGTGACAGCAGATTTATGTCTGAATATGTATTTAATCTTTTTTTCTGTTATGACAACAGGCATTTGTTTCCAGAAATGATGAGTTTGAGCTGCTGTTTTCAGTCCCCTAGGGTCTGTAAGGAATGTGTCCTGAGATCTGAGTTTAATGTTGTAATCACCTGTATATGTTAACATACAAACTGCAATCCATTTCTCTTATGTTCTGATTGATAAAAATGGACTAACTAATAAAAATTAAAGTCAAAAGAAGTTCATGTAGCCAAGTCACTGAGATCTTTCCTCCATTTGAAATAAATGAGCACTGGTCTTTGTCCCTTGCTGTCACCTCCAGTGTGTTTAGTGGAGGTTAAACACATAGTCAGTGTCATGGTAAACACCCTTATGTTTCTGTATAAGGTTACTCCCTGATGGGGTAAATGGTAGCTAATTCCAAATGCCAAAGCACTGGTTGATGATCCCAAAACTACACTTGGTTGTTGCTGAACAGGGGGTGTGTGCATGCCTGCATGTCTGTGTGTGTTTTGTAGTATGACCCTTGCAGTGAGTAGAGTCACTTTTGGAAATATTACCTCTTGTTTCAATTGACAAGTACACACACAAACATGTAGTTTGAGGATCATCAGGCTTTACCTTGACATTTAGAAGGTGCTCTCCATTTACCCCAGGTGACACACACACATGCACTGTTGTGCCATGTCTGTACAAAATGACAGTGTTAATTTAATGCCAGTGATAATGTCTGTCATGTAACTAACATGGTGACACCGTATGATTACAAAAACCAACAGTCTAAGTAGCGACCAGAAACTGTTAATGTTACGTCCATGAATCGGGCCGTTCCCAGCACTTCGTCATCAGGCACGGGGACTGTCAGCAATTCCAACCCCACACGTGTGGGAGCGCACTCTTGGCGGCGAGGCACACCTGCTCTCAGTCATCGGGGCAGCACTTAAGGAGAGCATTGGTGTGTCCTTGTCGCCAGATGATCTCTCGTCATTCTGCCAGTAACGTTGTATGTGGTAGTGTGCCTGAGCTACTATGTGACTTAACTGCTATTCTGATTTTGATTGCTACCAGTTGCTATGAACTATTAGTCTGCTGGAGTGTAATACCTGATTTACCAATGACTTTGCGGGTTTCTGCCATTCTGATTTTGATTACTACTTTGTGTTATGAACTGTTTGCCAGTGGTTTGAGATACCTGATTTTTCCTGTAACCTGGTTGGCTCCGGTCATTCTGATTTTGTGTGGAACTCTGCGCGAGGCCCGTGAACTGTTTTCTCCATCAGAGAAAAGTAGGTACCCTGCACTTGGTGGTGATTACTTCTCCTGGCACTGGACCTCTCCTTCCAGCCCTCATCATGTCATCCTTCGACCTGCTCTGCTGTCACTTGTCAGCCTCCCCAGCTACCTCCACTACACAGATTCCTCTCACCAGGCCAGCGATATCCTACGCCAGCTCCAGCCTCCTTGGACTGCTTTCCCGGCAAGCAACGCTCTCCCACCTATATTCAAGTCCTCTGTTTTTGATATAGACTCTATCACTTTATACCCGTTACCCTCTCTCAACCTCTCCTTCAACCCCGGGTTGTTCCTCTAGTGGTCCAGTCAATACAGCGTCCCCACCTGTCCAAGATCTGCTGCAAATCTCTGTGTCCGGTCCTTGTCAATTCCTCATTTCAGTATTCATTAAATTAGTTGCTTTTCCAAGCCTGAGTGCAAGTCCTACATTTTTCTGACGCCTCTCTGATTGTAATACAGCTAGCCGTAACAGTCAATGAGGTACAAAGCACGCCCGATGAAGCAACACACACAAGTGCAGCATTTTGCAGTTAGTGTGACCACAGAGAGAATATTTATAAGTATGAAATGTCGGCGTCTTGTGCCAAAGATATTTTATCACAATATCTTAATTTTTAAATTGCTGTGGAATATTGAATGCTTATTTGAATAAAAGTATTTTCTGGCTATTTTAACCTCTAAAAGTTCAGATTCAAGAATGATTCAGATTCCTTTCTGCCACTAGTAACAAGGCAAATAAAAGACAAAAATAACCCTTTTACCATCCCAGGGTTCTTCTGACAAAATTAATTTGCATGTTCTGACAAAACAAAGCTCTACACTTGGTGACATAGTGACTACCTGCGATCTTACCCGAGAAGTTAACACCTTTACAGTAATTCAGGGGATAACACTGTCCACTCATGTGTCACTACTGACCATTCCTTCTTTGTGGTCTGAGAGTCACTTTGTGCTAAGATTTACTGTCTGATACACAGTAGAGGTTCTAAGACTAAATTATTTAATTCCTTGGTCAGAAGTTTTAGATCTAAAGTTTCTTTTCCAGGTTAAACCTCAGGGTGTTTGTGAATCTGCCCCACCTGATATTTTGAATAGCAATCATCAAGAGCTGTCATACACAGTCATAATTTGAGTCAGCATTGTGCCTTACATTAGCTGGCAAGGACAGGGGCAAAATAAACACATCCTGTTGTGAAGATGATGATGATTATTTGTGTTGTGCATGTTGTTTCTGTGACAGTGTGGGTCAGTGTAAGGAGGTGGATAATGCTGCGAGGACACGGCAGGCCCCAATGTCTCCCTCGGATTTCCTGGACAAACTGATGGGAAGGACCTCTGGATATGATGCTAGGATAAGACCGAACTTCAAAGGTATTTACTGTGTAGCTGTCTGTGTCTGTGTGTATTTTTCTCTGCAATAACAGACTAACAACAGTTTTTGAGAGGGAGCTGCAGGCATCGCCTCTGTATCTCTGATAGAGTCCCATGAGGTGGCGTCACAGCCGTTACATGAAAATACAGTTGATGATAAACACCTCCACCAAATCATTTTTTGTTCTTGACAACAAAAAAATCTGAACATGTACAAATGTGAAATGGTGGCGCAATGTGGAGGCAGAATATGTGATACAGAATACACAGACATATAGAACACATAGAACATAAAAACTACAATTACAAGACAGACAGCACCTCAAGTCTTTTTACAGAAAGGGCAAAGCTCGTTTTCTCGCTTCTCAGTCCAACAGAGCAGAGCAGTTTAACTTTGGTCCTCTAGATTGTCCTTATAAAGGTAGACCAATATATCAAACCCTAATATGCTGTAGTTTCACCATTTCCCTGTTTATGCTGTCATCATGTTCATAAGTACATATAAGGTATTATACGTTTTGTGCAGAGATGTTGAGTCACAAAATGCAAGTCTGAGTCAAGTCTCTAATGTTTCCAACGTAATCTGTCTCTTCATATTTCCTCCCTTTGAATTATGTGCAGTGTATTAACTGATCATAGTTTATGGTGGGTTAATTCTGTGTCCATCTGGGCTGCCACAAACCATCTACAGTAGTATATGCTTCTGAGGCTGAATGTGTAACTTCTCCATATGTCGACTTATCAACCCTATGATATTAAACAATACACTCAGTTGTCAGTTTAAGTTTTTGTTAAGATCGCTCTGGTAGGGACGTGAGCGAGTAAAAAATGACGGACCCAGATAGCTGACTTCGGTGCAAGAAGTGCTCAATTTATTTACAGTGATAACAATTATGTGCACAACCAGGTGAAGGAATATGGAGCAGAACCGGGTGTCGAGCGGCAGAAATAGAAAACATACAGTCAGTGATGTGATGATAAGGAGAAGGCCGGGCTGCGGACGCTGGGATTCACTCCTGGACTGGTCGTGGTGGTGAGGAGACAGAGTCACAGAAACAGTTAATGGGAGACTGTGCATCAACCTGCGTGATGGAGTGATGTGGAGTTGAGGAGATCTGTGGTCCGGAGAAGCGATAGCGGCGGGAAAGATAAGACACGGGGCACAAGGCAGGAACGGAGCTGGGATGAAGAACGTGAGCAAATACATATAGTAGACAAAAATAATAGATCGGCATAGAACGGGCTTGTGTGTAGAAAGAACTGGCAGGGAAGTGGCCGGTGAGCACGGTATAAATAGGAAGAAACTAATCAGGTGCAGCTGGTGGTGATTCAGGGGACGTGAAGCAGGTGTGTCAGATCAGGGGTAAGGGAGCTAAAATAGAGGGAGAGAAGTGACAGAGGCAGGTGCAGCCGGGCAAACCTGACAGTTTTTCATCAAACTGTGTTAAATAATGTAGATGTTGACTCATCAATAGGCTCCGTCTGAACTGTATTATTATAAGGTGTTTAATTTTTTCCACTCCACTTGTGAGGCTAGGCTAAATAACAAACAACCCTTTACATAATACAAACATTCCATTCCAAAATGATCAGACAGTTGAATCAGCACCTTTCTAAACCAATTTGAACAAAGACCGACTATTATCACCTTCATGATGGAGGATTTATTACAGGAGTGTTGGATTAGACTGCAATAATTTTAGCTTGGCGTAGGCTACTGGTATGTAAAGTATAACTGGTAACAGTATCAACACTGCATTATCTGCATGTTAGCAGGTTTTCAGTTTAGCAAATAACCATGCGTCAGGAACACCATGAACAACTCACTTGTTATACACTCAGAGATACAGTAAAATTCAACACGTTACCCTGAACTATGTTACATTACAAAGATGAGGAGCCGAACACAAGCCAACACACCTGAAATTACAATAGCAGCAGTGACATTACCATAACTGCAGAATCTTTATCCTTGATACAAATAGTTTTGTTGTAGAAATCTGCTCCAAAACACATTTTAGCATGGAGAGTTGCTGACAAAGCCTTTAGAAATCTGCTCCAAAACACATCTTAGCATGGAGAGTTGCTGACAAAGCCTCCTGTGACCCAGACTCATTGAACAGTGCTGGCGGCAGTGCAGAGATACTGTATTAGCTTCTAAAAGGTTTTAAGCAGGATTGGCCTCTGTAACCAGTCAGAGATTTTCAATTCTTTCTGCTTGATCAGTAAATTTTGTTGCATTCTCATTTCTTGTAATTTCACAATGACAAATGGCTGAAGAGCTGGACAGAGCGTAGCAGGTCATAGTAGAGCAGAGTGGGGCAGGGAGAGGGAGTGCTGGGCGGAGCCTTAAGTTACATACTGCAGCTTTAACTTGCAGACCATCTGCACCACTGATCACATGGATGTAGATGAGCCGTTGTCTTTTATATTTTCCCGCCTTCTTTACAGGAAGCAGTTTTTCTGTTAAGACCAGGGAGTTGTAAATCCTGATATCCAAAGACTACAACATATTGATCCCCTCAGCAACACGTGACACAGCTTGTTGTGTGCTTTGCTTGGTTGTCACATGCCTGTAGTTGGGAGGTGCAAGCTGGGATGTGTTAAAGGATTACAGAGGGACATAAAAACCAAAACACTCCTGCTACAGAAATGTTGAAAGACTCTTAATGTTCACGAGTCATCATTCACAAGTCTGAGTCAAGTCTGGAGTCAGTTAGGTATGAGTTGTGAGTGAGCTACAGTATGTATCCCCAGGGGACTTCAGTGTGGCTCGAGTACAAGTCACCAGCTTGATGTCCATTTCTGGTTCTGTGTGGTACCTGACAGGGAGAAACATCTGCAGAACCACATCACCTACAACACAATGTGGTGACATAGGTAAAGCTTTCAGACCAGCCATGGCAGTGATGCTACATACCACCCAAAATAAAACAACCAAATTCAACAGAAGTTGTAAGCCTGCACAGCTCCAGCTTTACAGCAGGGGAGGCCGACAGTTATGATTACTGATTATCAAGTACCTGCAGCTGTGCCTGCAGCACTGTGGCGCCTGCTGCTGTGGCCCATGTCAGACATGGAAAAATTTCACCCCATGGCCACAGTCACATACTGCTTTTAAATATTTTGTATTTAAAGATTCTCCTAAATTACACACCGAGACAGTTCCTACACTATTCTAGTAAAGTGAGAAGGGAAAATTGTTACCAGGCACATTTATTATTAAAACATAACATTGGTGATTTTCTATGTTTCCTTGATTTTCCATACATTACATAGAGAGACTAAAACAATCAATGAATTTGGTGCCCTCACCACAGTGTCTTTGATATCAGACCCTGGTTTAGCTTACTGGTCTGTGCAGTAGACTTCCATTGTTGTCTGGAAACTATTAAAAACACACCAGTGAGTGCCACCTCTGCACTGGAAATACCTGGAAAATGCTGACTGGGACACGTGCAGCCTATGTGTTATTTATCATGGCTCATAAGCTGCTTTCATCATCACAAAAGCCAGAAGGACCCTGGTCTCTTCATTGTTGAAGCCACAGTTTTCTTACTCTGTTTTCCCTTTGGGATGTTGACATTGTCCTTCGATTAATTTGAGCAGTTCGCTGCACAACAACTTTACATATTACTTTCCACATAGTCTACACTTCAAAACAACTTCAAACAAGCAAGTCTTTTTATACTCCAACCACACGTATTGTATTTCTTACTGCTGTATATCCATGTGATCATTCTGTCTCTTACTCTGCAGGTCCTCCAGTCAATGTTTCCTGTAACATTTTCATCAACAGCTTTGGCTCCATTGCTGAAACCACCATGGTAAGCAATAAAAATACTGCATAAAATTTCCTTCAGTAGTAATAATCGGCGGTAGAACGCTTATGTCTATTCTGGGTTGAGATCACACTGTAACGTGTTTATACAGTAAAGCCCTTTTCAGGCATGAGATATGTAACATTACTGCTTCATCAGTTTGTTACAACGGCAGCTTTTTGTCATTCAGGCATAGGGCACTTTTACGTTATGGTCCTCAGGGGTTCATTCAGAAATACCTATGACAATGAACAAGACGAGGGCATAGGGCCTGTCTACAAAGTGCAATACTGAGAAGAGATACTACAATACTACAAAAATAGTCTCTCTTAGGGTAGTCTAGTGTCACCAAAATCAATTAACAAATCACTGGTATTCTGTTGGTTTTACCACAACACTTAGTTTGGAAAAATGTGTCCAACCCTAATAAAATTACATTGAAGTACCATAAAGGCAAAGCCCAAGTTTATACAAACAGTTTACACAAACCTTGTTTCAACTATCCATCCATTTTCTATACCGCTTAGTCCCAAATGGGGTCACTGGAGCCAATTCCAGCCAGCTGTGAGCAAGAGGCAGGGTACACCCTGGACAGGTCGCCAGGCCATCGCAGGGCTAACACGCAGACTAACATCCACTCACACACACAATCACTCCTACGGGCAATTTAGAGACGCCAATCAACCTATGCTGCATGTCTTTGGACAGCGGGAAGAAGCCGGAGCACCCGGAGAGAACCCACGCAAGCATGGGAAGAACATGCAAACTCCGCACAGAAAGGCCCTGGCTCGATCCCAGAACCGTCTCGCTGTGAGGCAACAGCACTAACCACCACGCCACCATGCTGCCCCTTGTTTCAACTAAAAGCATGAATTAAAATATGTATAGTCATTTACAGGTACCCACTTATTGTGCTTTTACTTTCTACAAGATCTGAATTTTGAATATACCAGAACCCTGATTTATGCTCTAGGTAATAGAGTCCCTAAACGCAGACTGAATTCGTTATTGGTGAGTCACAGCAGGCATGGCCATGTTATGTGCATTAGAGGAGAAACGTAAGCACAACTCTGCTTAGTTTTAAAAGGCTTTCTATAATTCACAGCTTGCTTATGCATTTGTCCTGATGGGATGCTTAGTAAAACAAGTAATCCTGAGAGTTTTTTTCTAGGGCTGAATTTTGTGCTCAGTGACGGGACACTGTCATACTTCAATCAGGTCAGACATTGTTACATCAGAATGACGGCAACAGTGGTGATTTAAGTCACTGGTCACTGCTTCCATGACTAATGGGGGTCATATAGAGTTGATTGTAGCTAGTTCAGGAATACTTACTGCCCTGAAATAGCAGGGGTTTCTTTATTTAGGATATGGTCAGGGGCACCCATTATCATCATCTACAGTACCAGAGGGACAACTCATTTGCAGGAGAAAGAAAGCAAAGCTTCAAACGGTGACCAGAAAGGAAGACACACTGACAAGTAGAGGCAGATAGAGACAGAAATCAGAAGAGACAAACAAGCAGACAAGAATAGGAGATGTGCAGTGAAGACATTTAGTGACTCTGACAGCAAATACTTTAAAGTGGCATGAAGTCAGTCCAGGCTGCACACAAGCTGCTTTGTACAATGGTATTAGGTATACAATACGCATACAGTAAAAACGCCAGGCTTTTATGGGATTCTTGCTGCACTGATATCTGAAGCATCCAAGATTAGAAAAAATGTCCCAGATTCTCCAAGTGAGGACATGTGGTTTAACTTTCAGACACAAGAGTAAAACACTTTATCAACTTTCTTAACCTGTGAAAGTCATCCCTTTTCCTCCAGGCTTGAGGAGAGCTGCAGCGCTGTCCCGGTCTGTCAGGAGTCCACCTTCCAATGGAAGTTTCAGTCTATATGGAAAGACAGAATACACTTGGAATGAATGTATGCGTAACTGTCAGGACAGAACTTTACAATAGCTGTGGTTTGGCTTCCTTTGCTGCTGTTTGTTTCTCCTAAAAATATCAGCATAATGCATGTTCAATTATTCTATAGCCACCAAAGGTAATTAAAATATTTAGTCGGATTTGCCTGCACTGTACACTGAAAATATTGCAGTATTAGTTAACTATACAGCTCTGTGTTAATGCACTCCTGAGGAGAAAAGTCTGGATGAGAAAAATTCTGACATTTGATAGATCGTGTATAAATCTTTTCAACAGCAATATCAAATGAACAACAAGGCCTTTGTGGGCAGTTACTGTAGCTGCTGCTAAAAGGATTGGTCTAAAACTGATTGTGGTCAGTCGAGCCTTCTCTGGAGATGGATGGAAAAGTAGATGGGGGATTGAAGCGACAAGGTGCTTTCTGCACCGCTGGCTGTTATCAGTGTGTGTGCGCCTTCGTATTACTTACATCATGAGGACCGAAACCTGTTAACACACTCATACTGTGGGGACTCGGCCATCCTTGTGGGGACCAGAAGCTAGTCCCCACAAGGAAATCACTTAATTTTAGGGTGGCAACATGGTTTTAGGGTTAGGATGAGATTAGGGTCAGGGTTATGGTTAGGATAAGTCTACAGGAAATGAGTGCAAGTCAATGTAAAGTCTCCACAAGGAATGAAAACACAGCATGTGTGTGTTTGTCTGCCAAGCAAGAACCATCATAAAAAATTTCAATGTTCAATATTGTTTTCATTTTACTTTCATTATTTATTGGACCCAAATGAATTTTTCATGACAGCGTGTGTATGTTTGTGCCACACTGATCTGGCTTTGTGAATGTATCATCCTGTGTGGTTTGTTTCTCAGGCTGTCTGTACAATTCCAAATCAGAAAAAGTTGGAATGGTATGTAAAAAATTAAAATTAAAACAGGAAATAGTGATGTGTAAACCATCTGTGTGTCAGAGTACAGCTACCCACAATGTTAATGGTGGACTCAATTATAAAGCCAGGCGAGATAGAGTAAATAATATTACAGCATAATTACTGCACTCACTCAGAAAATACACAGTGACGGTCCAGAAACCATAATCCACGTCAAACAACAGTCCAGGCTCAATACTGGCAAAAGAACACAGCCAAGGGATCCAAAACGGGAGGTCAAAGAAGCCGGTCCAGTAGTCAGTACACAGAATAAACATACAACAATGAGGAGGCCTAGGCAGAAATCGGTGGTCAGGAAACAATCCGGGGTCACGAACACAAATCACTAAAGCAAGGATAACGCTGGAAAGTCTGCACAGAGTCAAAAACAATCTGGCAGGTTACTGGTGGGAGAAGGCTGCTTATAATGGGGTGAAAACAGGTGTAGGCAATGAGCACTGATTACTATAAAGAGTCCATAACAGAGATGAACCTAGAACAGGAAGTGGCGACAAAATAAGAGCCTGAAACAGGAAGCAGTAGGACAGAACCCTGTCACTGTGTCCTGTATTACAATGAAAACAATACAGCATCACATTATTTGATGTGACACATCAGTTTTATTCTTTGTTCAAAATAAACACTCACTTTAATTCTGATGCTGCAACACATTCCAAAAAAGTTGGGACAGTAAAGCATCTACAACTGTGTGATGGTGCCGTTCCTTTTCACAACACTTAAAAGATGTTTAAGGACTGAGGACACCAAGTGATGAAGTGTGTCAGGTATAATTTTGTCCCATTCTTCCTGCAAACAAGTCTTAAGGTGCACAACAGTCCTGAGTCTTTGTTAACGCAATTTCCGTTTCAAAATGCACCACACATTCTCTACTAGGGACAGTTTGGGACTGCAGGCAGGCCGGTCCAGCACTCACACCCTTTTCATCCACAGCCAGGCCTTGGTAATGTGCACTATGAGGCTCTTCATTGTCTTGTTGAAATATCATGGGCTTTCCTGGAAAAGATGTCATCTTGAATGCAGCATATGTTGCTCCAACATCTCTGTGTATTGTTCAGCATTAATGGCGCCATCACAGAAGTGTAAGTTACCTTTGCCAAGGGCACTGACACAACCCCAGACCATGACAGACCCTGGCTTTTGGACTTATTGCTGGTAACAGTCTGAATGGTCCTTTTGGTCCGGAGCACACAGCATCTATTCAATAGTACATGTTTTCACTGTGTGATGGTCCATCCCAGATGCCTCCGAGACCAGAACAGTTGACTGTGCTCCTGGACATTGTTGACATAGGGCTTCCTTTTGGCACAGAACAGTTTTAAGCAGCATTTATGGATGTAACTACATATTGTAGCGCCTGACACAGGTGTAACAAAGTAATCCTGAGCCTATGTGGTTATATCACTTATAGAAGAGTTATGGTTCTTGTTGCAGTGTTATCTGAAGGATCAGAGAGCTAAGTCATCCAGCTTAGGCTTGTGCCCTTTACGCACCAAAATCCCACCAGAGTCCTTGAATCTTTCAATCATGTTCTGCACAGTAGAGGGTGACATATCCAAATCCCTTTCTATCTTTCTTTGAGGAACATTGTTTTTAAACATTTTAATAATTTTCTCACACATATGTTGGCAAACTGGTGGTCCTCAGCCCATCTTTGCTCCTAAAGGGCTCGGCCTTTCCTGGATGCCACTTTTGTATCAAATCATGATGCAGTCGCCTGTTGACACCACCTGTTTCTAATGGAATCATTTCATTGTTTTACCTCATCACTGGCCCTGAAATGCAACTGCCCTAACTTTTTTTTGGGATGTGTTGCAGCATCAGAAATGACCAGTGTTTCGTTTGAACAAAGCTGATGAGAATGTGGTGCAGCATCAGAAATGACTAGTGTTTCGTTTGAACAAAGCTGATGAGGTAGCACATCAAATAATATACTGCTGTATTGTTTTCAATGTAATACAGGGCACAGATGATTTATAGATAACTATTTTCAGTTTTAATTTTGATTTTACATACTGTCCCAACATTCTATGATTTGGGGTTGTAAATGCTACAGAAAAACACAAATTATCCAGTTTAGAAAAACTATGTATACATATGGTTTTCAGAACTAGAGTATATAGATGTGAACACCA